TTGTCTTAGGTATAGGTAGGCTGTAGTCATAGATTCATAGACTGGAAGGGGCTGGAAGGGACCTCGCAAGATCATCGGGTCCAGCCCCCTGCACCAGGCAGGAAAGACAACTGGGGTCAGGTGCCCCCAGCAAGGTGACTGTCCAGTCTCCTCTTGAAGATCTCCAGGGTAGGTGATTGCACCATCTCTGGAGGGACCTTATTCCACAGTCTGGACACCCTGGCTATGAAGAAGTTTTTCTTAGAGTTGAGTCTGAAGCGGTCTTCCAGGAGTTTGTGGCCATTACTCCTGGTTTTCCCCAAGGGTGCCCTGGTGAACAGTTGTTCACCGAGCTCTTGATGTATTCCCCTGTTGTAGTGGTAAGCTGGTACCAAATCCTCTCTTGGGCCTTTTCAGCCTAAAAAAGGCTAAGTCCCAGTATTTCTGCAGTATTTCTACAGCTGTTTCTTTGTAGAGGGACTGATGAGGGGTTTTCCTTGAGCCTCAGTAGGGCTCTGTATAGCTCAGCCAGTTATATGTACAGAGCCAGCCACAGCTAATAAAGTGCTCTGTTAGTGAAAGCAGGCTTTACAAGTAGGAAGCTCTTTGGCCAGAGGGATGGTGGCAGGGGCGAGGGCAGTACCCAGCCTTTTGGACTCCTCTGGAATACAGACCAGTGACATAATGGACCAAATGAACATCACAGCTGCAGCATAACATTCAGTAGGAGCTCATGGGATTTCCACCCATATCTCATACAAGCACAGGATTGCAGGAAGGGGAGGGGTCTGGAGATGGAGATGGAACATCACTGTTGTGCCCAGTGAACTTCCACTCTCCAAACTTTGTTTGGATAGTCTTCCTGCCATCAACTCTAGGTCTGAGTTACCTAAGTAGGCAGCCTTTAAATATAGATTTACTACTCTAAGGTTGCAACCTCTAATGTAACCATCGATACACTTGATGCCTGCTAATAGATTTACATTCACAACTGAATGTAACTCTGACCTCTGCTTCCCTTTCAGTCCATGACAAGCAACTTCATTACTGGAGCGCTCAGATTACCTGGTGGTGTTTCATGCTTTTTCAGCACACCGAGTCAAGAAAATATGCCAGCTTCTGAAAGCAGGAAGAGAAGAGTGCTGGTGTGTACAGGCCCACATCACTGAACTCTGCCCCACACCCCAGGACTAGCAATGGCCAGTGGGAAGTCTCTGCAAGCGCTCAAGTCCTGGTCTTTGCACAGGAGACAGGAACAGGAACTCATCTCCCTCCACAATGACAAGCCCATTCAGATGGTCTTGCATCCCCCTTAACAAGGGGCCCTCTGCCCCCAGCTGCAATTGGGGAAGCTCAAACACTTACAAGGGTAGGGATTCTCTGGAACACAACTTGCATGGGGATAGGGAGAGAGACAGGAGAGGCCTACACTTGGTCAGTGGGGCAGGGCCCCCACAATCCTGGTGCACACATTGAAGGGAGAGAGGTGGGGATGTTAACAGGGGCAAGGACCACTGGGCTTATCTGGGGCAGGGGAGTAGTTTATATCCCCTCCCCTCCTCCTCAGAGGACAAGGGACACCAAGGGCTCAGCAAACACATGGAAGTGTAGATGTCACCCTCCTGGTGTCCTATGCTTCCTGCCTCAGTCTTCCTAATCCTCACCCTCTTCCATGTTCTGACCTCCCACTGTTCTTCTGTCCTACTCATCCCCATTTATTCCCCTCCCCATAACTGTCCTTGCTGCAGCCCCAAGCCCCTCTCCCTATATCCGCCTCCCCTTCCTGAAATCCTGTGCTTGTAGGAGATACGGTTGGAAATCCTGTGAGCGCCTGTTGAATTTTCCGCTGCAGATGGATTGCATTTCCCTACTGAAAAATACCTCAAGTCCCTTTGAAAGAGGCTCTTGTCTCTTGTCAAGTTTTCTCTTGCTGGTCAGATCCAAACTGGTATTCAGAAGGTCCCCTGGAGACATCCAACCTCTTTGAAACCTCTCTAGATGGCCCAAAACCTTTGAATGCTCTTGTTAACGATGCTTCTGCAACAGGGAAGAGGGTTCCAGCCACCAGCTGGGTGAGACATCAAGCAATAGGGCATGAGCAGAGCTATGGCTTGATGTCCCACTTCTGTGTAAGATGTTAGCACCTCTTACCCTTGAGACAGTCACAGCCCCAACACGAGCCTGAGTGGGAATTTCTTACTGAAATGCCCCCCTATCTGAAACTCTAACCCTGCCCTGCACTCTCACAAAACACCAAAGATCAGGACAAGCCTAATTATGTGGGTTTGGGGAACTTAGGAAAATTGACCTTCGAACAGGAAGGTTTCTACACCATCACCATAGCAGGACTGGTGTCTCACTAAGATGGCAAGATCTCCAGGTTGTTCCCTCCCTGCCGCTGCACTCAAGGCAGTGCAGTTCTGCACTGGCTGGGATTTGTTGTATTTTCCCCCTAGGTAGTGTATTAGCTTCTCTCTTTTCTATTCTTTCTGTACAGTCTGATGACATTGGCAAATGATGCTCCCAAACACACCACATTCATAAAACATAACTTTATTATTAGTTGCAGTATACATTGTGTTCCTTGCAGAATGTTAAGCTTGAACACATTATTTCCACTGAAAATATGTGTATGTATGTATTTGTGTATATATATGTGTGTATATATATATTTTTTTTTTGAACTGGAGTACGTCAAACAAGAGACAGGCTCAGAAATTACTTGGAAAAATAAGTGTGATCTCAACAAATTTATGCTGGCAGAGTGGCCAATATAAAAAGAGCAGGCTAAATAGAAAACCAGGTGGATAGTACATTGAGGATATGGTCATTTGGTGCTATGCGCAGTATGGGTGGTGGTACCTACAATAGTTACAGACTACTATTGCTGTCATAAATGCACCCTATTCTCAAAGGCAGACTTGTCCCTGTTTGTTTCAGCACAGCAATCTGGAAGTTCGTAAGGCCAGCAGTGCTCCTCAGAAACGGTGCACGCTATTTGAAAATAAAGTATTATATTCCCATAAGTGGCAGTGCTGCCTGCTGCCAGCCAAGTCCCCCGTGAAGGGATTTCCTATATGATGTGTCAGTGTAAACCAGTTTGGATATGTGACAATGGCTCATCTAAAGAGCACAAATTGAAAGGATGAGGCTCAGATCCCCAGCTGATGTAGCGAAGATCACTGCAGCTCGAGAGGGATCTTGGAGGACCTATGATGATTTACACCCAGCTGTCTGATTCTGTTTTAAACCCTGATTTGCACCACCTGAGGGTTTGGCCCTTTGCCACTGGATTTAAGGGTGAGCTGTGAGAGAGATGTTAATCTAAGTCTGTTAGAAACTAGCCTTCGTGCTTCCGCTGGGTCTCCCAGATGCAGTTTCCTAAAAGACCATTCTTCAGCAAAGTGGCTGAAAGCCATAGCAACCTCCATTTCATTTGGGGTTTGTTTAATGTCCAGCACAGCATCTTCAGCCCATACGACATTGCTGAGTTTAGCTGGACAGATTTTTTTAAATCTCTTGATCATCATCTTTTCTTCTTCTCTAGTGCTTCAGAGCTCAGGAGGACCAGCCTGAAGAACACTTTTTTAAAGACACTAACCACAGACCTTCCTTTGGCTACATCCAGGGTCTTGGGAGCAGCAGGACTCCAACCTTGATGCTATAGAGTTAGTTCCCTTCTTTTAAGTGCTTATCTCTTTAGGGAGAGACTTCAAAGTGCTCAGCACTGCTCCCGCTGAAGTCAACAGTAAAACTCCTTTGTACTTCCATGGGAGTGGATCTGTGCTAATACCAAGTGCTTTGGCAAACTTCCTCCCCTCTTAAATATCTTCTTTTTATTTATAAATGACTTCTGCTACTCCCCATCTTGCCCGAACATCTGTTACCCTTGGCTCACACCAAAGGTCCCTACAAGCCTAAGAGGTAGGCAGAGTTTCCCACCTCTCCATTTTCACTTGTTCTCCCCAGCTTATGGCAACTGTCAGGGGAACCTACTCTTAGTGGAAAGATGTCCTAACAAATCAATACAATGGAGCTGGTGGGGCTGTAGAAGAGCTGGGGGTAGCAGTTGATTGTAAGAGCTGGGCAAGGATTTGAATTCAAATGCAGCTGAGCTGGTGAGAACTACAACCATCTCTTCTTTGGCAGGCAGGAAGCCACAAGCCTACAAATGCCAGAGCTGGTCTGTGAAAATCCAAATATCTGACTGGATCTACTAAACAGCTACATGGACAAGGCTGTGGGTCCACTGCCTTCTCACATTCACATACTCACTAGAGGACAGATCAGAACTAATTCAAGTTAGTCTGATTGTTATTGCACAAGGTTTCCTTTCCTGATTCCTGCCACGAGCTGGCTCTGAAAGGTGAAACTGAAGCAGTATGGGTGTGATGCCTATAAGCCACTGATCCTATTGCGAAGATGTTGAGGTGAAAAATGCCCCCATCTTTCCTCCAGGCAAGAGGCAGATGGTAGGCAGCAAGGGAAACTGGTGACTCCAGCTTTTGTGAAATGCCCATTTCAGGAGGTGGTTTCCCTACTATCCTGGAAGCTATTGTTTTTCTCTGGGTTTAAATCCTTTCCCCTCTCCTTCCAGAATGCCTGTTGCAACGCACAAGGTGTGAGAGGGGTAAGTTGAATTCCTTCCTTTTGGAGCTCTAGCTATTGCACTTGGCCAGAGGTCTATTAGTAACTAGGGCTTTGCTCCAAGGGGAAGCACTCCAGCAGCACACCACTGGTATAATTATATTATACTGGTATAATGCCTGAGGTGGACATGCCCTGTGACCTTATCTCCAAATGAGTGAGTCTTCACATAGAAAGTTTTCCTAGGATCTATCTATCATCTTGCTGGTATCAAAGACCCAGTTGCTCTGGCATTTAAATTGGTAGCTTCTAGCCAATATGAGAATCTGATGGATCTGGAAGCTTTCCTGTGAATGGCTGTCCCCTGTGATGGGGTCAGCAGTGCCGATCT